TGTGACCGCCAACGCAACGTTTGGCTCAAGTCAATGCCCATAGCTAAGTGCTATATGTGTCTTCTATCCTGAGCAATCAGAGCTATCCCGTTGCACAGACGAACCGCCGCCGGCAGTGAGTGCAAAAGGAACGGCCGCCGGTTCTGCCTGCATAAGATTGCACGTGTGGAAGTAAGAGGGAGAGACAGGGTCCAGTCTGTGGAGAGTGCAAGCCAGCCACACCTACATTCATTACAGCTCTGGTGGGGAGAGCAGCAACCAAGTCGAGATCAATCCCCCACGCACTTATTATAACAAGACTATGCTAGTGGCTAAAGTTTCTGCTTGAGGTATCTCACGGCCACTTGGTTGCTGGCATGGTTCACGGGAGAGGACTGGTTGGCTGTGCGATGGCGTTGATACAGCTTTCGCTGAAACGGTTTGGGAAAACCTTGATAAATTAGGCATGAACGTAAACCGTTAAGCCCTACAAGTCTTGCTGTGAACCAGCACTGAGCCGTTATGCCAAGTCATAAAGACTTGCTTCCTGCCCTGCCCTGACATGGAAGAAGTGCTCAGTGTTGATGCATATGAGTACACAACGTTCCAGCAGGCATCCGAATCGTCACGGGCCGCAAATGCGACTACGGTTCTGTGTATAAGCAGACGATGAAGCAGAAGTTAGTGGAAAGGAATGCATAACACTAATCCGAACAGCGATATCAGTCATGCTTGATACTATGTCATGAAGAGCCTGACAAAAACCCTAAGCCCTCATCCTTGGAACCCACAGGGCCCTAAGCCTCTGACAGCAGGGCTCTTCGACGGACATGGCCGGATCAGAGTCTGCCTTCAAGGTCACCAAGGCTGGGAGGGAATTGGGTTTGACGTTTTGACAGGTTTAGGGCTTAGGGTTTAGGGGAGGAGGGGATAGCGGTTTAGGGTTTAGGGTATACTTTTCCTTGCAAGGTAGCCCTGGGTGGCTACACAGACATTGTCTTGATACCCGCAACTCTTACGCTACGTACCCAAAACCCTGAGATCGGACCATAAACCTCAAGCCCCTCTATTCTAAACTCTAAAATCCTAAACTACCTTTAAAGCTCTACCCCTAAGCCCTAAACCAACCATCCCCTCGACTGTCTTCTCGCAAGCCACAAAGTATATCTGGAGCCCTGAACGAACTTTTCATACCCATGTGCTAGTCTTGCAGGTTCTGCTTCGTTGATTCGCACCAAGCATCGTCGCGGGTGTACGGCCAGGGTTCCTAAACGACGAGCATGACAAATCATTACACTCGTGATGTTGAAGATGCACCACTATAAGCTGATGATTGTGTTGGTATTCAGAGTGATGATAGCACCCAAGATGATGACGATGGTCATGACGAAGATGATGATGACGACGATGGTAAGTGCGTCCTTCTCTTAGTTCACCTGCATCGAAGACCAAAATCGAATTTTCTTTTTGGACCGCAGTTTAATCAACTGACTACGGGTATGGTTAGGACGACGCCAGCACTGATGCCCGATACCACAGCGACCTGTGTGGCAATGGACATGCCTGCTATCAGCTTTTCGCTGGAACAGCCTTTCATGTTGTTGGAATGCGCGACTGCTGTTATTGAATTGTCGAACTCTCCGAATTAGCATGTTGAGTTTTCTTTCCTACCACTGCCACAGTATACAATGGCTGTTGAAATGGCGGTTGCTGCAACTACAGTGCTTGTTATTTCCATTGCTTAACACTGCTGCTGCGGTGATGGCATATACTGTTTTTTGCAAGTCCTAAAACCTAAACTATACATCTCCCTCTACATCTTGGTCCCTCAACCCTGAACCCTATACCTCTTGTTCTCTCAAGAGCCGAGTCGAGGCCTTACAGCGATCGATCGCCTGCACTCAGCGCAGGCGAGGAGCGTGCTCGAGGCGCTTTTGTTTCAGAGTGACGGGACAGAAGGGGTTCCTAAAGACTCGAATATATCCCTTAATTGAAGAACATACCTCATCTTAGGGGTCCTACCATGATCTATGAAGGTATGTTCCTCAATTGAGGGATATTGGAGCCTCCGGCCTTCTTCAGCAACTAGGAATTCCTATTCCTAACTAGCCGTTGTAGTAAGCCGAATAGCATCCCTTAAAGTAACCTTTAGACTCACCCATATAGCAACAATTCTAATTAGTAACCTCATCGTAAACCCTTGTAGTACTCCGTATGATAGCCCATCAGCGACCCTAAACCCTCAACCGATGAGCCTGCACCCTAAACCCTAAACCCCTAAACAGTTTTCCAGATGCAGGCCTCGAGGAGCAACGGGATAACGACGCGCTCCGAGCAGTCCTTGAAGATACCAGGCAGGGGTTACTGTAAGAGATACTGTAAAGGATCGTTCCCTATAGTCCTCAAGAGAACCATAAAGGTTGCTAATTATGAAGGTTACTGTAAGTAAGGGGTATCAGAAGGCCTAATTATGCAAAATTTCCATGTGCCCGTGCAAACCCTCTTCTAGTTGGTAAGGCAACTCCCTATATAAGATAGACCGCAAAAAGTAGGCATGATCTTCACCTATTGCGCGGTGGCCTAGCATGTGACGTTGAGCTTTGGATGGGACCTTCAATCACATCAGATCGGTTTAGCAACCCGACCCGAATACACACCTGGTTGGCCTACTGACATTTCATTTGATTCAGGATGTTCTTCTTGACAGGCTGGAAGGCGCATGTGTGCCCCTTTGTACCATCACTGGCGACTTCATATAGTGGCTCGTTCAGTAGAGTTTCATTACCAGTCTTACCTCTCATGTGCAAGAGTCTACGAAAGCTAGGACCGTGATTGATGCGAGCGTTCGTAGGCTTGCAACACCGCATCCAGAAACGTGCGCCCGACGCAGCTGAGTCTTAGCGGAACGATACGAAGCGGCCATAGCGATTCAGCCTCCGATCCACACCTCTTGCTGATGTATGGGCCTAAATAATGGCTCACGACCAAGACGAGTTTGCGGGTTCCTTAATATACCTATCGCAGAATACGTCCAAGCTTCAATGACGTTTGTGCTAGACTCCCCGGTTCCTGCATGAATGCAACTCCCATGATCCGTCCCATAGACAGTCTTTCTGAGACTAGTACTGCAGTAGTAGAAGAAGTAGTAGTAGAAGTAGTAGTAGAAGTAGAAGTAGTAGTAGTAGTAGTAGTAGTAGTAGTAGTAGTAGTAGTAGTAGTAGTAGCAGCAGTGGGATTACCTTACAGGACTCAAAATACAAACCACAAAAACGAACTACTATGGGGCCAAGGGGTAATAAGCCCTAATCCATTCCAAGAGGCTTTGCCGAATTGCACCGCTTGTTTGCGTGCGGCGACCCTTTCAACCCCAAACCCGTAACCCCAAGCCCTCAACCCTAAGCTCTACCAGTAGTTCCTTTTTGGGATTACCTTGTAGGATTCTATATATGATCCCCAAAAAGGAACTACTTTGGGGCCTTCGGGTATAAACCCATCCAAAGTCTTGAACCCCAGAAGCAGAAACCCGCCTTCGTTTCTGCAGCCATCTCGGCTCCCCAAAATACAACGAAGCCGGCGGGGCACACCGGAGAGCCCGCCGAGTCTGTAGAGGCCTGGTTTTGAAGCATCCAAGAAGCACGCGAAAACTACTCTGACTACAGCAATTATTATAGCAGCTCTCGTGACTATGTATGCAGGGTTCGGTGTTAGGGCTTATCGCTGCGAATCAGAACAGGCATGGTTAGTATTTCAGATCTTGCAAGAGGCACAGAGTAGCGGATGAAGCAGGGTTCGAGTTGCCATTGGTAGAGAGAGGCGGCAGGACTGAAGCACGAGCAACAACTTGCTGACAATGTTCAGGTAAAGGAGTTGGGTTTCTGTGTTTCACACAACGGGACATTGCTTGAGCTAAGCCGGCTAGCGCAGGCGTGATGGGTTACTTAAGCCTCAAACATGTTCTTCTGCTGTGTCCAGGGCTACGGTGGACATCAGACACCCTAAGCCAACATCATAGAAGGAAAGATGTCGTTATGGTTTAGGCATGGTCAAGCCGTTCACAGCCCGAAGCTGCCCCCTGAGCGGAGAGTAACTTTCACGTGCGTTACTTCATGCTATGCCCCAGCTCCCTTTCGCATTCATTCTCTCTCTCTCTCTCTCTCTCTCTCTCTCTCTCTTTCTCTCGCTCTCGCTCTGTCTCTCTCTCTCTCTCTCTCTCTCTCTTTCTCTCGCTCTGTCTCTCTCTCTCTCTCTCTCTCTCTCTCGCTCGCTAGTGCATGTGTTCACTATGGTACTGACTGCCTGCCACACACTCTCTCTTCCAGACCATGTATACAGAAGCATCGTCTGTGATAGCGAGATAGACAGATGGATAGACATGTATGTGTGTGTGTATATATATATATATATATATCAAGCGATGCAGAATTTGTAATATACAGTGTTTGCTATTTACCCATGTATCTATCTATCAATCGGTTTATCTATCTATCCATCTACCTGTACATGGGTGTACACCGGCAGGGATGGAGAGACATCGATAGACCTAGGCAGGTGGATGCAACATGACAGACAGTTACTCGCTGCATACATGTGTGTTGCCCTGTGTTTCTCTGATGCCAGAGGTGTCGATAAAGGATTTAGTATAGGGTCACGATCCTTGGACTCACTGTGTACGGCTTGTTGTATGATGAAGTTCGGCTGCACCAAAGCAATGAGATCTTCGAAACCCTGAACTTTAGTCCGCACTCTTGGCACCCTATGGGTATCCCGCAAGCAGTCTCTTGATGTGTGTGTGTGTGTGTCTGTGTCTGTGTCTGTGTCTGTGTCTGTGTGTGTGTGTGTGTGTGTGTGTGTGTTCGTGGAGTCTGCTGCAACTTACACGTCCTGTTCAGTTCAAGTTTGAAGCGAATGGGGCTTTCTGGTTGACCTCCTTGAAGGGTTGGCTTTAGAGATAGTACCAAAATAGCGCCCCAGACAATTTCTGAAGCTTCCATCTTTGCGCAAGGCCCGCAAGCCGGGAAGTCATGTCCGCAGAAGCAGAAGACGTCGAAAAGCAGCCCTTGCTAGCTGAGGCCACGACACGGAAAGGGTGAGTTGAGGGTGAAGGTGAACGCGAATAAGAAATGCAGTATAACAGTTTCAGCCAAATGAAGACCTTGATATAGACCCTACATCCTAAACAGAAGGACTAGGAACAGACCTCTTTTTCGTGACCTCGCGAAATTGTCCTTATTTCGTGTATTTTCGTGTCGTAACAACGCAGAGTAATCAAGATCGCGCTGCCCCTTGTGACGTATTGAACACGATAGCGTGAGATCTAGCGTTCTACCTTTGCCATTCTGAGAAGCCGAAGCTTACTAGCGACAATGCTGCTATTGATGCAAGTTGTCTTCGCAGAAAATGAGACGACCGCGATCACCGCTGCCATCATCCCCACAAGACCTAAAAAACTCCACCGCCGCCACGGCTGCTCCCTTCTCAAAAAATCGACTCCCAAGTCCCAAATTCCATAAAGCCCGAATCGCTGGCCCCTTATCGTAGCCCATGTGGAACCCGAGATTTAACAGGAGAAGCAGGCCGAGGAAGATGAGATCCAGGAGAAGCCCGGGTTTTTCTTGTCAAAGCTACTACAAGGATTCCATGGGGTTTGGGGTTTTCAGGTTTCAAGTTTCAAGGGCTTCTATAAGGTTGGGGCTTCAGGGCTTTGGGTTTGTGGTTGTTGCAAGGTTTGGACAAGGGGGTTTGATCACGTTCCTCTGCCTCTCCAAGATTTTAACTGCTTTCGTGGAAGTTGCTGCAAAGGTCTGGTTCTTGGTAAGGAATGGGGAAATGGATTATGGAGACTATATTGGGGATTATATAGGGACTACTATAGGGATCCATTCCCCCATTCCCTACTAAGCACC